CGTCTTGACTGGAATGAAATAGGCGGATTTAGTCAACCTATCCACCACAACCCATATGGAATCAAATCCAGCCTGACTTCTTGGTAATCCAACAACAAAGTCCATGGATATACTCGTCCACTTCCATTCCGGAATATCTAATGGCTGTAACAAACCAGAAGGCTTCTGATGCTCAATTTTTACCTTCTGACAAATAAGGCACTTATTCACAATCTGGGCTATGTCTTTCTTCATCCCAGACCACCAAAAATTTTGTTTCAAATCTTGGTACATCTTAGTTGCACCCGGGTGAATGGTGTACTTACCCATATGGCCCTCGGTTAACACTTCTTCTACCATTGGCCCCTTTGGGACAATTAACCGATCTTTATAGTATTTCACATGAGAAGCATCGGTGAACACAAAATCTTGCTCTTTCATCATTTGGATCCCTTCATCAAGCACTTGGGCCGCTTTAACTTTTTCCATTAACGAATTTCGGACTTCGACCGTAGTCATGAAATATGAAGTCTCAAATGGTGTCACATAAATTCGCAAATCCCTGAACTCCTCAATTAATTCATACTCTGCAATCATCATGCTAGCCACACCCGTGGTCTTTCTGCTCAAGGCATCAGCCACTACATTCGCTTTTCCAGGGTGATACTGAAGGTCAAACTCATAATCCTTCAAGAATTCCATCCATCTCCTTTCTCATATTAAGCTCCTTTTGATCGAATAGATACTTCAAGCTTTTGGGACCACTAAAAACTGTGAAGGTAGCACCATACAAGAAGTGTCTCCATATTTTCAATGCAAAAACCACGGCCGCTAACTTAAGATCATGAGTAGGGTAATTCTCTTCATGTGGTCTCAACTGTCTAGAAGCATAGGCCACTACCTTTCGCTCCTGCATCAACACGCACCCTAATCCATACTTGGATGCATCACAATAGATCTCAAATCTCTTCTCTAGATCAGGAAGAATCAGAACCGTTGCGGTAGTCAACTTATCTTTCAATTCTTGAAAACTCACATCACACCCAAGGGTCCATGCAAATGGCACCCCTTTTCGGGTCAACCTAGTCAATGGCAAGGCGATTCTGGAGAATCCATTAATAAACCTCCTGTAGTATCCGGCTAAACCCAGAAAACTCCGGATCTCATTAACACTCTTGGGTCTCTCCCAATCCAACACAGCTTCAATTTTACTCGGATCAACAGCCACTCCTGTAGATGAGATGACGTGTCCAAGAAACTGGATCTCATGTAACCAAAACTCACACTTGGATTGTTTGGCATATAACTGATGCTCCCTTAAAATCTGTAGAACTATCTTCAAATGCTCTGCATGTTCTTCCTTACTTTTATAGTAGATCAAAATATTATCAATGAATACCACAACAAACTGATCTAAATGTGGTTTGAAAATCCGGTTCATATAACTCATGAACACGGCCGGGGCATTAGTAAGCCCAAATGGGATCACTAGATACTCATAGTGCCCATATCTGGATCGGAAAGCCGTCTTCGGGATATCTTCTGCTTTTACCCGGATCTGGTGATATCCGGAACAAAGATCAATCTTCGAGAACACTGAAGCACCCTTGAGCTGATCCAACAGATCATCAATGCGTGGGAGAGGATACTTGTTCTTTACTGTCACCTTATTTAATGTCGATAATCAGTGCACAACCTCATAGTCCCATCCTTCTTCTTCACGAAGATGACTGGTGCACCCCAAGGAGATACACTCGATCTGATAAAGTTCTTGCGGGACAATTCTTTTAACTGCTTCTTCAGCTCAGCTAACTCCACTGGTGACATCCGGTATGGAGCCAATGAGATAGGCCCCACACCAGGTACTAAGTCAATTGAGAATTCAATCTCCCTCTCAGGTGAAAAATGAGGAATTTCTTCCGGAAATACATCTTCAAACTCGCACACAACCGGAATATTAGCAGTAGGTTCTTTGGAGTCTCCTACAAGTCCTCCCAGGATAATGTATCCTGCATCTCCCTCATTTAGAGCCTTATTTAATTTCTGTGCCGTCAAGTACAAACTGTCCGGCTTTTCTCCTTTTGTAGCAAAGAAAACCAAGGAAGCACGAGCACTTGTAAAAACAGGGAGAGTCGTGTCCGACACGCTCCGACACGACGACACGCTCTGACACGGTCTCGGACACGCGGTCAACTTTTTTTGACACGTTGACCATTCCGACACGTGAATTTGACCGTGTCCGACACGGTCCAATGGCATTTTCGTAATTTTTTTTTAATTTTTTTTTAAAAAAAATATTATTTTTTTTAAAAATTAAAATATATTAATAAAGCTTCCACCTGATCATATCAATTTTATTTTTTTGTCTTTTTTCCCCTTAAGTAGATAAGAGATCATCTCAGCATCATTGTTGTCAATTCCTATCACACTCTTGTTGTATCTCCTTGTCTCTGATCTCTCTATCTGATATTATATCTCTCTCTCATCCCAGTTCTTATTTTTTTTATTAAAGCTTCCATCTTTATAACGTGTTGATGGGTATTATTAATTTAGTTTCATTTTTTTGTTAAATTATTAAATATTAAATGAAATATACACTATATAAATTAAAAATATTATTTAATATTAAAACGTGTCCCAACGTGTCGAAATCCATAATTTTTTTAGGATTGACGTGTCAGAGTTTCGTGTCGTGTCGGGTCATGTGTCGCGTGTCGTATCGGTGCTACATAGAAGAAAACCCTTCTGCTACAACAATCTAGTATCACACCATATCGGACCAGCCAATCTATACCCAAGATAATGTGTAGATTCATGCCCTCAAGCACTATCAAATCCACCATATACTCTTCTTGCTCATATATGAATTTGACTTCTTTGCACTTCAAAGAAGTAGAAACAATGTCTCCGGTGGCAGTCTTCACTACCATGGGAGGCGTGAACTCATAAATGGGTAGATGCACCCCATTAGCAACAAATTCAGATATGAAGGAGTGGGTAGCTCCAGAATCAAACATGGCATCAAAAACATATCCTCTGATAAGAATAGTACCTCTGATAAGGTTTGGAGACCTCCCTGCCTCCTGCTGTGCCACTGCATATACCCTGGCACTAGTGGGCGCCATAGGCTCCTCTATGGCTCTCTGAGTAGGCACGGACTGAATAGGGATCACCTACATAGCTGCAACTTGCCCCGTCTTCTTGGGGCACTCTCTGGAATAGTGTCCTGCCTGACCACAACTGAAGCAAACATTCTGCCCCAGTCGACAAACACCTGTATGCATCTTCCCACACTTGGCACAAGTGGGAATCTTCCCTGCACCAGACATTCCGCTTCCATTCTTCACAAAGAGAGTCTTCTTAAACTTGGTATTCTGCTGTGCTTGCAAACCTTTGCTCTTACCCTTCCAGGGCGTAGTCTTCCCACTGAAGCTCTTTCCCGCTGCTTCTTTTCACCTGGTACGATAGTGCTCCTGAATATTTTGGCACTGCTTGATCAACTCCACAAAATCTCTGGTGCAATGACCAGCCAGTTTGTCTGCTATTATATCATTCAGACCCTTCCTGAATCGAAAGGCCTAGTCTTCTGGAGTGAGGGGAGCTCTACCATAACAAGAATATTTTGCCAAGCGGTTGAACTTGCTCAGATATTCATCCACAGTCATGGCTCCCTGTCGGAGGTCTTCAAACTCACTCTTCTTCCTTTCCTTGGCTTCTTCAGGGAAGTACTTATGCAGAAAATGCCTCTCAAATAACGGCCAAGTAATAGCATAACCTTGGCACTCAAGTGGGTTTCTAACATTACTCCACCAGTCAGCAGCATCCCCTTGTAACATGTACACCGCATATAGGAGCTTCGTGTTGGCATCCCATTCCATAACCCGAAAAATACGCTCCATCTCTTAGAGCCACTCCAATGCTGCGATGGGATCTCTTCCACCTTTGTAGTGAGGTGGGGAATGCTCCTGAAAGCATTCAGCATACGCTCTCTAGTATCCCGGTCAAACCTGGGTGGTATAGTTGATCTATCAACCTCAAAAACTGGCTGTCTCACTAGTTCCTCGTGGACAGATGCCTCCGCCTCCTGATGGGCCTCTCCTGACCCTTCCTGTCCCAGCACAACAGGCTCAAGAATCTGTACGGGACCAGCAGCATGTGCAACCTGCTGCTGCATATGTGGTGTAACTGGCGGTGGAGGAGGTGGTGAAGGTGGTGGAGGTCTTCCTCGTACCTCTGTCAACAGTAGTCGGATCATCTTAGCATTAGCCAGCCTATTCTGCGCCATAAGGTCTTCACTGGCCTTTCTCAGCTGCTCTCTATCGCGCTCTCTGGCCTCTTTGATTCTTTTCAAATCAGCTTCCCTGGTTTCATTCAGGGTCTGCTGCAATGTTGCTCTAGCTACAACAATAGGATCAGGAGGAGGGTTTTGAACTATTTGCCTGGGTCTCCCCCGAGGTGCCATGTCTCTACACAAAACTGCATGAGGTATGAGTTAGCTACGCTCAATCAAGTGATAGCATATGCAATATCATGACACTCAAGAGACACTCAATAAACAGTACTAACACTTAAGCAATACGTCAGTGAACGTCCCGGTGAAACTGCTCTGATACCATAAATGTAACACCCCGTAGTACTCCAGTTGTTAACATACATGATATTTAACATTCACAGCGGGAGACTTTATTTGAAAAGGAATAAAATATCTTATAAAAATACGAGTAAACTTTTTTCAAAACATTTTATAAAAATATTTCTAAAAACGTTCACGTGAGATACTGCGAAAGCGTAAATCAAAACATACATCTATTAATTAATCCCATGAGCCTGTATTAGTGGCCATTGACCATCAAGATATGACATCAAGTGTCATTCCTAACGGAGTCTCACGAACAGCATAACAGCTGTATTTTGGATAATTGGGAACCTGGTCCCATACATACAGTTAATCTGATAAATGTAATAATTTAAACAGACAGCTTGCACGTCCCACACGGACTGCAATCCCCTCAATGGGTCAATATAAACAAGAAGGCTCCATGCCCAAATTAACTGAATGCATACATCAAGTCTATATTAATTCAAATTATGAAAATATCAGTAATTAATCCATAGCTCTAAGGATACAATCATGAGCCTAAATAAACACATACAATAATCTCCATAATATAATTCAGCATGTTAACAAGTCTACATGCTAACATCAAATCTAAACATAATATAAAATCATCAGCTGCATCATCATCTACTCCAATGCGGGGGCCTTGCCCCTAGAAGCATCACCACTACTCTGGCTACCTGAAATGATGTCCCCAAACGGGGTGAGATAACAACATCTCAGTAAGCTCAAGGTTCATAGAGGATCCTCTAATCCCCTGAGCCCACTAGCTGCATGACAAGTCAGATATAAAGCATATAATACAAACATACAGCAAAAACATAGCATCATCATATCATCCTTGTGTAACCCCAGGGTCAAAGCCATAGACGGTTACACATGTGTGACTTTCAGGGTCAAGCCATAGACAGTCAACACAACCTCAGTATGAAATAGCTCCCAGAGTCAAGTCATAGGCAGCCTACATACCATGATCACTGGCCAGGATCCTCATAAGATATATCATCAGTGCATCATCATAACATCAAGATCATATAACAACTATATGAATGTGAATGAATGCACATATACATCATACCATATACTTTCATACAATATAACCATAATGCCCACCATCATAGTGGGGCCATAAGAGAGAGGAGTCAACTAGAACTAGGAGCTTACCTCAGGGAGCTTAGCACAAGCCCACACTCCAATAGTATACGTATGCTCCAACAAAATCCTCAAGTGTACGGTTCTTTAGGCACACCTAGAGTAGGAACCATTCACATCATTAATTACATATTAATTAATCAAGTCATATCCATCACTTAATCATTTAATGATTTCACTTTTCATACTCATATGCCAATAATATGCCCATTACAAGTATAGACCAATTATTACATAATTACTTATTTTAGTGCATTATTACAAGCTACCTAAATCTTCAATTAATTACATAAATTAGAATCACATGCAAGGCTCACTTAGGTAACTTAGATTATTTTCAACTCATCCCAGCCATATTTATGATTATTATAAGTTACTAAGGGTTCCCCTAAGCCAATTTAGCTTAAATATCACTTTTACGGTTTTCCCATAACTGTACATGCTTCTGTTTTCTAGTCACTGAGCGTAACTAACTTGTAATAAAATTCTCATCTTTTAGTATGTTAATATATACTCAATTAAATTTCCAACAAGGTATCATATGCCTCATTTGGAGTTTCCTAGCTCCGGTTATCACCATTTGAAGTTGGACAAGCAAAGCTGTTTGCCAACTCCGAACAGAGCCCTAAACGTCCTTTACCATTTCTGCGATTCTGGAAAATATACTAAACCAATTTCTCTCAAATTTTTATGTAGACAACTAGACACCTTTATATTTAATTCTACATATTATTAGCCTAATTTTAGTAAGTACAGAGGGAGAAACTATTCGTGGAAGATGCAGCCATGTACAGCGCCCCTGCACATGGCCTCCCTGTGCAGTCCTCACTCAAACGAACATCCAGAATGGAATACATCTTCAATTAATATCAAATTTTGACACCACATAGCTAAGATATCAAGATTCAATTTGATATAAGGCAAAGCCCTATATGACCTCTGTGGACGGAGATATGCTCTCTCCAATTTTGCTTAAAAACTGGTTACTTAGCCTTAAATGTGTTTAAGATTTAATTAATCAATTATGCCTAATCCACCTCATTTGGTCCCTCCATTAGTGTCCTAATTAAGTCTTAGAACCATTTTAAGAAATCAAACCCTAATATATATCCATATGGCTGAATTGCATAGTCCTAATTAAGTCCTTTATGTCTTTAGTCCCCGAAGGTGTCACCTTTATTAATTTTAACCCTAAACTCTAATATTAATGAAGAGGGCAGAATCAAAGCATGGAGTTTTTAGGGTTCTTAGTTCATCCACGTCAAAAACAACTCACACACAAGCCAAAGGTGTCACTTTTTTCTTACAAGTCTTTATCTTTCTTGAGTTTTAAACATCTGCCACACATTTAACCATCAAGACCCCATTTTTAATAATTTACAACATCATTATCAACATATAATTATTATGGACGAAATGGAAAGTGGGAGGAAGAAGGGTTTGAATTCATCTTTTCCATGGATTCAAGCCTTACCTCTCCAAGATGGCTCCTTTAGATCAAGATCCAACATTTACTTACCAAGAATGCTTCTTTTTTACCAAAAACCCACCTTCATGAAATATTCAAGGATTTAGAACCAAGAACATGAATTTAAAAGAGAAAAGGTAGGGTTTTTCAAGAAGAAAATGTAAGGAACTTACACTAGACTCAAGAAAACAAGCACCAAGGAGTGTTCTTCCAAGAGAACTCAAAACAACATCTCCATGGCATGAAGAAGCTCCAAAATCGCTGCTGTATGGGAAGGTTTCCACCATGAAAATTTGGATTTTCAAAATTAAAATAGGATATTATTGAAGAGGATGATGAGGGGAACAACTTTGGTGAAGAGTGTTTTGGATTTTAATGAAATTTAGGTGGTGGGATCTTAGAGAGAAGGTGAAGAAAATTTGAAAACCTCCAAGGTAGAGAGAGAGTGAAGTGGGCTGCTAATGGGAAGGGAAGGGGAAGAGTCTTCTTATATTTTTAGGGTTTTCGCCATGTCATCAAGTGACTTTCTGTCATTTAATGACACCTGGTGTAATTTTTCTCTGAACGATTATCAAATTTCTACCCTGAAACACCCAAGACTCTAATTTTAACGTTTTTGGTCTAATTATGACTTGTTAGGCATATATTGGTCTTTATTTCCATTTTCTCATCTTTTTCCTGTTCCGGGATTCTACCAGCTGCTGCTACAGCAGTACAAAATATCCGGCAGAAGTGACTTTTGAAAAATACCCCAATATGGGTATGAATCTTCATCAAATCATATCCTAACCTCATTCATGATGTTTATATCATTAGATTAGCTCTCCAACTATAATTTGTTAATTTGGAGCTATTCTACTGACTGTTATTACGTCAGCAGTCAAAAT